ATCCCACTTTGTTTTACTTTTCTCTTCTTTTAATTGAGTTAACATAGAAAAATTACATTTAAATCTTTTAAAAGGAGTAAAAGACATCAGTAATAGAACAAACAACCATTTCCATGCTTCTTACTTAGAAAATCAAACAACAATTAAAGCTACAAGAATCTATTTCTTGATTTAAACATTTTTCCCTTGTTCTTAAGAATTAAATTAACAGCCTAATGATCAGCAACAGTATGCTTTATTATCTTGTTTCTACAGCTTTTCCACCTTAACAATGCCCTGCCTTATTGTTCACGTGACACTAAAAATGATATATGGTAAATAAGGCATGTGGAACCTAGATGATGATATGGCTACCAAGTATTTACCATAAATCAAAAAATCAGCAAAAATATCAGCTTCTAATAACAGCTTTCCTTGCTAAAGTACTGATTTTTATAATTTATTTTTCAATATAAATATGAAGTCTAAAACATATGCACAAAACCAAACACAGGCATCACCATCTTTTAAAATTAAAACCCTTGATTCCATACCTTTCTTCCTTAGCATAAAAGATTAAAGGAACCTTTATTTGGCAACCCGAATAAAGTATATGGAATGGTTGCTGTTGTTGATTTGCAATCCGAAATGCCATCAAACAAACAATTAAAAGGAATTTTTTGAGCTTCTAAAGTCTAAACCATCAAAACTTAGTAGACTCTGACTCATTGACAGTTAGCTCCTAAAATGATATCTCAGTGTGAAGTTTTCCAACTCTAACTCTAAATGCCTAGTTCAAATGTTCCCTAGGGATGTCCCAATAGTTAAAAACTTGAGTCTCCATGTTGGAGATCTCAAGTTCAAATCCTGAGGAGGGGTTTGGGAAGGGGATCCCTGTTGTATAACCCATATACCAAAAAGAAAAAAGAAAAAGCATATGAGCAAAATCACAGCTTATCACAATTAACAAAAGAGATAATGGCACTATCAGTCTCTAAACCCTCTAACTTTAAGTACTTTAGTTCCTATACTCTCAACCTTCAAGCACTTTAAATGTCAGTTATTTCATCAAAGAATCAAACCAAATTTCACATGACGGAAAAATATAACCTTTTTTTTTTAAACAAATACCTGTATCGCGGTAACAGATATGGGTGTTCACCAAGCAAACTCCAAAGCAGATTCTTCTTCTTCCCATTGCTAAAATGGTTCTTCAACTAACTGGTGTAATCAACGGTCCTATGCTGCGAACACCCTTTTCTGGAAAACTCTTTTCTAGCGGCATCTTTTGTAACCAGAATAATGAATGTGGTAAAGTCCACGAAGATGATGAGTCCCACGATGCGGAAGAACATCGGGGTCCAATAGATGGGAACCACGAAATTGTTTCTGCGCAATGTAGCGTTCAGCCCCAGCAACGAGATCAGGAACAAGAACCCGCCTGTCATTAGCAATAAGTGGGTCTGCACTTTTTGATACCGTTTGCCGTCGCCGCCGCCACCATCATGGAGTGTGAAAGCCATGGCGACGAGGTTCACGAACTCGACAATGATCGCGAATCATTGGAATTCTTCCAATTAGACGGCATCGCGAAAAGGGTTTGCTTTTTTTCTTTCTCTCTTTATTTCTTTGTAAACACAGAGCGCAACACAACTTGTGGGACCCACTCCAGTCCAAGTTAGCAAAAACAGACTTGGAATTTCCAAGTCAGCAATTCATCAAAATTCCAAAACCAAACTTTTTAATTTTTTTTGAAAAATATTGATTAACTAATAAATACTTGGAATTTCCAAGTCAGCAATTCATCAAAATTCCAAAACCAAACTTTTTAATTTTTTTTGAAAAATATTGATTAATTTTTTTTGAACAATTT